CAAATATATTATTTTCCAACTCATTAAAAATATTTTTATTTGTTGCATTAAATTATATCTTTTAGTCATGCATATTTTAAGTAAGATTTTTTTTAATTAATATATAAAAAAATATTCAACCAAACACCAAATCATTTTCCTGATCAAATTAAACAACAATTAACTTTTCAAAAAGGATTACAATAATATTTTAATCGACTGCGCACTTCGTCTAAAAGCTCCGCCATTCACACACCAAGGCTAAGCACGCGGAAAATTCAAATATATTTCGCAATTCATAAAAAATATAAACCAACTGCAAACTATGAAATGAGACTCTGATTCCTCCCTAAGAGGATACGTAGGCATACGATCAAAAATCATGGCGAGTTCCCCTACTAAAATATTAAAACCCTATTTCTAAAAATTGCGCTTCTAAAACCTAGTATCCTTGCGAACAAGGTAGATAAGGGGTGTCTAACACCTCCCCCTCGTCTAGAACTGAGTCCAAATCTAGAATCTCTGAACTTTAGGGTTATTCATTTACATTCCCTTCCTTTAAGATAAAAATTAAGGGTGGCAACTCTTATTTAAAAAATCACTTACAACAGCTGGCGACTCTGCTGGGGACTCAACCCTTGGTTTAGAAGCCTCCTCTTTTGGTTTTAGGGTTTTTCTTGTTTATTGGGTTTCTATTTCTTGATCATTTAATTATTTATTTATTTCTTGCTCATTTTATTATTCATTATATTATTATGTCTGTGGTGGGATTTAAAATTTTGCAAAAAATATTTTCAAAAACCCTTAGAAAGAAGGTTCGTTTATTTGCCAAAGGGTTACATCAATCCTATGAGTTTATGCGACGACTTCTCCTAGATTTGGTGGAATTCCGCAAAAGGAATACCTCTCGGGAGACATCCTCTTGAGAAGTAGGACTTTGGAATGACACCTATGACTCTTTGTACGACCTTTAAACCAAAAACTCATAATGAGACCTTTCATGACCTAGAGACAAAAGTCTAGGTCTTTAAAGAGACTCCATTTAAGGGAGGCCCATGTGCCTTCCCCTCTAGTGTTATTCATAACACCCTTAAGAAAACCACCTTATGGGGAGGGTAGAACACCCGTAGGCCAAGACTAGGAACCTACCTTCTAAGGGTACCTTTAACGAATCCCACTATAATCTCTAAGCCTGCAAGGGTTATATTTTCTTCCACTACTATCTTTAGGTCATAGGGCTTCCATCTATTTCGTAATCCCTAGCCTGTAGGGATTCCTCATCGTCTTTCTTTGACCACAATCCTTAAGGGATTCCTGCCTGTCTCAATTTCTGAGACAATGTACAAATCCATGCCTATTATTATTTTCGTCCGTAAGGAATCCATGCATGTCTCAACCTATGAGTTAGTGTAGGATATCATCATGGCTATCATTAAACTTGTATAGGGTACTCTTGCATCTACTTTCATACTACATCTACATTGCATTGCATATCCATGAAACTTTTTGTGTTCCTAAAAGCCAAAAATGTTTTGCGCACCCAAGCATTTTTCATACATTTCGATTTTCATTCATAAAGCTCATATCTCATCCACTTACAGAAAACTTCCACCCTTATCCAACTGTGGTACAGCTAGCAAGATTCTCGATACTCACAAGCGAACTCAAATCATGTCTCAAGAAACCATGGAGGAACTCAAAAGAGGCCAAGAACTGTTGAAGAAGAAGGTCCACTAGTTGAAGACTCAAATGAACTTGATCATGCAATTATTACTAAGGAGTGAAGGTAACCCTTCATCACCCCAGCCACATGCCTATTCAGCATCACAGATGCTGTCACCACAAGAAGTTTCCCCGCCTCAACAGCAACTACAACAACCTTATCAACATAAGGGACATGCCCAACAAATGAAAAGACGAAAGCTATTACCTAGGACATTTGATCCACTTCCCATAATGCACAGTCAACTACTACATCATTTACTCAAGGCATCTTTGGTAGAGAGCAGAAGCCACTGAATCCTCTGAGTGTGGCACTCCCGCCTCAGTATGATGAAAACTCTAGGTGCAAGTATCACGCTAATTCCCTAGGGCATACAATAGAAAAATGTTGGGCTTTCAGACACAAGGTCCAAGACTTGATCAATAATAAGTAGTTAACTTTTGAAGAAGGGGTCTCATTGGCAAATGGTCGCCCTTGCTTTGACAAATCCAAATGCTAAGAAGAATCCCCTAAAGTCATTGGATCAACAAGAAGGCTTATCTCTAGATCATTAGGCCTTTATCATTTCAAATTGTAATTTCTTTCTTGCTAAGTGTTATTTGTTATAAACTTTATACTCTTTGGTCAAGTAATTCTAATAAAATAAGCATGCATGTTTTTGAAATCGATCCATTCCATAAATAATCAATGACTTTCTATTCTTCTTTTCTATCTTCCATTACATAACTTTAACAAACTTTGATGGAGAATGATGAAAATACAAAACAATCGAATTTTGCTGACGTATGCTTTTTAATAGTAAGGCTTAGCTGACGATGTAAGGCATTGTTTCAAATCCTAAACAGTGGAGAAATAAGGAGTTAATCCATAGTTAACCCCTCGAGCCAGAAGTCAAAGTTCTTTCTATTTTCTAAAAAAACCCTTAATCTTAACCAGGGGAAGGGTAGATTTCAATTAATTCGACGATGCGTTAAAATCCCAGGAGAATCGAAACGATCTAAGAAAAGGTTTGAGCATATCGATTTCCTCGATACATCATTGAGGAAATGATCTAATCCAAGATTCAAGCACATCATCTTATCCTTGCACATAAACAAAGATTGAGGAAGCAATCAATAAAAACAAAGTTCACGACATCTTCTTCCTCAGAACATCCTTCAAGATCAAGGAAACGATAATGAAAAAGCTTATAATATCAACATAGGCAGTCACAAATTTTCAAAATCAAAAGCAAAAAAAAAAAAATTTCAAAAAAATAATAAAGCCTGCTAAGTCAAGTAAAAAAAAACTTGACTTAAGCAAAATTTAGGGCATCCCGATGAACCGAATTCAAAAGAATTGGCCCATGCAAAAATAAGGGATTAAAACAAATAAATCAGAGAAAAATATTGTGACTTCCACCTCAAGAATCATCAAGGCTTCTCACCAAATTCCAGGATCTTATCAATGCTTTTCATCGACACTTGGATCTTTATCTACGTTTCTCATCATCTGTGCGACTATGATATTTCTCTTGGAGATTAAACGCGTCTGTTACATTAATTGAAATTAGGATTTGATAAAATAAAGGAGAATGGGTTGGGTTAATTAAATTTTGAGCCTTATATCCTTTGTTTCTTAAACCACGAACTGTGACCATGTTACAACCTTCAAAAGTCCTAATTGAAGCTAGGTTCACTATGAAAGCATACTCGGTAAAATTTATGTTAAACTGACTCCTATGTTTGTTAAAATTATTTCTTACTAACCACTTCTTCAAATCTCTATCTCTAATCATCCATTTATTCTCCATAATTAATTTCGATGTCAAGAACTTGCATGTGCATCACATTAGGATTACTTTTTAAAATGTACAATTTTATCT